AGGGAAGAGGCTCCTTGGCAGAGCCGGTGTGGGGAAATCTGCTCTGGTGGGAGATTTGGGGGCCTTAAACATTCAGGACCTGGTGGTCGTTTCTGTCAGGTCCGTTCTGCCTCCAAACTCAGGCTGGTGCTCTGCCCCCATCCCCAGAGAGGGAATATTTGGTTGTCTTGGTTCTTTTTCCTTTAAAGTCTCCAGTCTTAAGCAAGCTCCGAATCCCCCGGGTGGGAATTCTTCGTGTAGCCTCTAAGTGTAACTGTTGTTGCCTACAGCACGATACACTGTAAGATCCTTTGGAATCAGGAGAAACGAGAAGATTGCTGTTCATTGCACCGTTCGTGGGGCCAAAGCAGAGGAGATTCTGGAGAAGGGGTTGAAGGTGAGAATCTGGCTGGTTTGGATCTTTGATTTGTGAGAGAGAAAAAAACATAATCTGTACTAGCTGAAAAGACTTGGGCTTTGAAATGTTGCACCTGATACACATTTGCACCATTTATCTAATTGCTCTTACGTCCTAATTAAGGGGTAGTGGGTGCTGCATTCTTTTGAGGTCCTGTCGTTGCTGCTGTGATGTATGAGTAGGCTCTGGAAGCAAAATCTTGGGAGTAAAGACTAAGTAGCACGTAAAGACTTAGTAGCATCTAAGCGAGTTGTGGGTCTGGTAAGGTTGGAGCACAACTTCTTGCTCTGTTTGTGTTCAGTAATGGAACAGTGACTGGCAACATATGTTTCAGGTGCGAGAATACGAGTTGAGAAAAAACAACTTCTCAGACACTGGGAACTTCGGCTTTGGAATCCAGGAGCACATCGATCTGGGGATTAAGTACGATCCCAGTATTGGTATCTACGGCTTGGACTTTTACGTGGTGCGTATTCCCTGCTTCCCTGCAGCTACTGGGCTTGTGTGAAAGCTCTGGATGGAACCTAGAATGATAACTGACTCACAGGAATTTGCTGCCAAGTACTGGAAGAGAGAAAAATGTCAACAAAATCCAAGTCTGAGATTCCCAGGGCTGCCATAAAATCCCTGATTTATGGCATGTCTCTCAAAGCCTCTTCAGAAACAAATACTGTTGCTCTTACTGGTCCTCCTGGGACAACACTGGAACAGCTGTGCTTGGTTTGAGGAGGG